AAAACTTTAATTTAATTTAAAAATTTTAAATTTAATTGTGGGAATTTGGAGAAAATCTTATTGTGTTGTATAAACCTAGCCCTGCATAGCTAGAAAGCTGGACCACCACTACCTCTTGTTTGTTTGGAGTCAAATAAAAGATACAGACCAAATGGAGATTTAACAATGAAATTCTAAATAATGAGTGGGTCAAAGAACAAATCATTGAAACAATGAATAATTATGCAAAATAAAATTGTAATAATGAAACACACCAAAATTTCTGTGATGCAGTTAACAGTACTTAGGGGAAAATGATATCCTTACAAAAATACACTAACAAAATAGAAAAAGAGAGGGTTTATGAACTGAATATACATTTAAAAAATTAGAAAAAACATATAAGCCTAAAATAAAGACAAAAGATATTAAAAATTAAAGGAGAAATATGCAAATTGTTAACCACAAGTAACCATAGAAATGATTATTAAAACTAAAAGCTGGTTCTTTGAAAAGACTGATAAAATTGATGCACCATTAGCTAATCTGATTAAAAAGAAAAGCAAAAAACCAAATTAATAAAATATCAAATGAGGAAGGTGAAATCACAGCTAAGCCAGATAAAGCAAAAAGAATAATCAAAACAGTTACATGCTAACAAAACAGAGAACATGAAAGACACAGAGGAATAGCTTCAAAAATATAAATAATTGCACTATCAGAAGATGGGATAACTGAATCTCAGAAAAGGAGAATTCTATAAAACTTTTAAATAACATTTAGTAACCAGACTTCAAAAATTATTCTCAAAAATTGAGAAAGAAAGCATTTTACTAGAATCATCTTATGATACAAATATACTCCTAATATATAAAATGGGGAAAAATAAAAATACAGAAAGAAAAGTATAAGCCAACATCATCAATGAGTATTGACCCAAAAATTTTATACAGAATCCTGTCAGACTATAATGAGTTATTCAAGAAATCATTAATTATGACCAAGTGGGATTTGTGTCAGGGATGCAAAAATGGTTCAACATTAAGAAAACAATCAACATAACTAATCATATGAAAAATCAAAACATCCAAATCCATCTGATCATCTCAAAAGATGCAGAAAAAGCCTTTGACAAAGTACAACAATCCTTTATTCTAAACAAAAGAAAATAAACAAACAAAAAAGCCCCAAAGCATAAGGGACATTTTTTAAAATATGAAAAGCATCTATTTAAAACGAAAATCAAGAATCATATGCAAGGGGGATACACTAGAACCTTTCCCAATAAATATGGGAGTGAAACAAACACTCTTCACCCTATTATTTGATATAGTTCTGGAAATGCTAGTAACAGCAATAAGATGAGAAAGAAACTAAAAGCATAGGTAAAAAGGAGATGAAATTCTCCCTATTTGCTGATGATATAATTTTCTTGGAAAAACCTAGGGAATCAGCAAAGATTGATTGAGTCTCATTGAGACTTGCTTCAGCAAAATTGCAGTCTACAAAATAAATCCTCAAAAATCAATATTTCCGTATAATAATAGCAAAACATAGGAAGCAATAATAGAAAGGGCAATCCCTTCCAAATAATTACAAAATCCATAAAATATCTGGGAATCAACCTACCAAAGCATACAAAAGACTTATATAGATTCAATTACAAAGAGCTCCTTAAAGAAATAAAAAACAACTTAAATAACTAGAAGAATATTCAGTGTCCATGGCGAGTCTGTGCTAATATGATAAAAATGACAATACCATCAAAATTAATTTACACTTTTAATGCTATACCAATCAAATTACCAAGATGACTTATAGAACTTGATAAGATAATAATAAAATTCATTTGGAAAAACAAAAAATCTATTCAAACTGTATTGTAGAGTAGCAGTCATCAAAACCATGTTGTATTTGATAGATTAATGGAACAGACTAGACAAGGAGGATTCAGAAACACAAATTAACTGGGGGAAACCTTTTTTTTTAATTGCTAGGAAATCTGGAAAGCAATCTGGCAGAAATTAGGCTTAGATAGACTAACAACTCACACCACATTCTATAATACATTCGAAATGGATATTCTACTTTAATATTAAAGATCATACTATTAAAATTTTAGAAAAGAAACAGATCTGGGCAAGAGAAATAGTTTTATCCAAACAAGTGATAGAAAAATTACAAAAGATAAAATAGATAACTTCGATTAATTCAAACCAAAAAGCTTCTGCACATACAAAAGAAACTGCGTCTAGCATAAGAAGGGAAGTAGTCAAATGGGGGGGGGGAAATTGTATTAAATTTCTCTGATAAAGGTTCAGCGTTTAAGATATATCAGTATCTTTATATATGTAACATATGCATATATATACATATATGACTAATAGCCATTTGCCAATAGACAAGTGGTTAAAGAATGTGAAAAACAGTTCTCAAAAGAATTGCAAATTATTGACAACTACATGAAAAATTGCTTCAAATCACTAATAATAAGAGAGGTAGTTTCATGTGTTTTTTACCTTCCCAATGAATTAATTAGTTGTGCTGGCATTTTTTCTTCCTTAAAGAATAGTATTTGTTATATAGAATTGCTCTTTGAGAAGGAGAGGGGGAAAGATATTTTAGCTAACTATAATGATGTAAGAAATAGAAGCTATCAAGAAAAACTTATTTTTTAAAAAAGTCTTCTGGGTCACATGACCAACAAGATGTGAGAATAGACATTTTTTGTGGTCCTAATGGCCTCTCCAACCTCTATAAAATAGAAATTATGCACAAAAGAAATTTGCATAAAATTATGCACAAAAAAGAAATTGTCTTCATAGTCTAGGACATCAAGAATACAAACAACATACTTCAATAAACTAATAGTAGAGAAATCAACTTGCTAGCCCATAACACGGTCATAACTCCACAGCATACTGTGCTCCTACAGCACATGTGCACAAATTTACCCACCACTTTGCAACAGAATTCAATTCCATATCCTCCTCCTCCTCCTCCAGTGCCTCAGAAATCCAAAAGGCAGAAGCTTGCTATAATGAATAGTGCACACATAAAACCAGTTTACTGTTTTATATACTAACTAGTGTGATAGAAACACCAGTTAGATTGGCACTTCTCACTATATGCAGTCAAACTCATGCACACAAAACGAGCATCAGTCCTTCTAGGTACAAACCACCAAACTGTTCTTTAAGGTCCTGGGAAGCTTGTTTTATATTGGCATACAAAACCAGGCTCACTTTCTGGCCAGCGAAAGTTGGAATATGTTCTGGCAAGTCTCTGTCCATCAGCACTACTCTTGTGCTTATAAATGTCCTTCCAAGAAGGTGATACCCAGAATTGCATACTATACTCCAGATGTATGATCTGGGCATAATGCTGTAGTATTACTTTGTCGTCCTGGCCACTGTATGAAGCCTAAGTTTAAATAAGCTTTTTCTTTCTTTCTTTTTTAATTTTTTTTTTTTTAGGCAATTGGGGTTAAGTGACTTGCCCAGGGTCACACAGCTAGTAAGTATCAAGTGTTTGGTCTGAGGCCGGATTTGAACTCAGGTCCTCCTGACTTCAGGGCTGGTGCTCTATCCACTGTGCCATCTAGCTGCCCCTCTTTCTTTTTTTTTTTTAAAGTATATATATACATATATACTTTACCCATCATATTCTCGTATAAATCCTATCTTCTATCTTGCAATAAAGTATGTAATGATTTATTTTTTAATAAAGAATTGATTTCTGTCTGAGGTCAGTTGTAGAACAGAGTGCTACTCTTTTGTGTACTGTCACATACTGAGCAAGTGTAGTGGCAGTAAATATATTAATGTAAAAGGAACTGCTCCTTTTTGTTTTAAACCTCCATTTTGTGACTAAGTAGCTGTTATGTATCCAGAGGAAGGCAACCAAAATGTAAAGGGTTCAAGATCATTCTATATGAAGATCAATTGAAATACCAGGAAATGTTTGTACATAACAGACTTTAAAGTTCCCTTATGTGGCCAAGCATAGTTATAGTGTCTTTTTCAATTTATAGCATAATACGAGTAGATGCTGAGGCAGGAAATCTAGAATTCTCAGAATTTAACTTTTTGGAAAGTAGAATGAGAGCTGAAAAGTATTAAATATAACACTATTACAAATGTATTGTGAGTTTTCCTCCCAAGATGGAGTACAATTAAATATCACAGGTTTACAAATAAACACAGTCTTAACCTGGCTACAGGAATTCTTAAATCTTTATTTTACAGTTGATGAAGGAAGAAGAGAATAAGATTAATCTATCTCCAATTTTTAAAAAATTAATTAAAAAGAACCTAAAATTTCACAAGACTCTTTGGAGAAAGGCACAGAGCACTGAAGGAGATGTATCTGGTATTTACTGACTTCCGCCACTCTACTAACCAGGCAGATTTCTAGATATATGCTCAGTCTATCAAGCAAACTGGAAAATGTTATTTACTCAGAAACTCAAAAACTTACCTGAGTTACAATAAAAGGTGAAAATAATGTTGAGTCAGCAAAACAGATTTTACTCCTAGTTATTTGACATAGAACCGCTGGCCTGAGGGCAACATGTCCCTGTAACAGACTAGAAGCTAGGGAGATACAACAAATGATAGATCTAATTCCTACTTATACACTAATAACATCTCTTGTAAGATGTAAGTCAAGAAGACTCCAGTTCAGAGCTGGCTTCAGACACTCCCTAGCTGTGTGACCTTGGGCAAGTCACTTAATCCTGTTTGCCTCAGTTTCCTTTTCTCAGATGAGCAGGAGAAGGAAATGGCAGATCCCAAATGGGGTCAAGAAGAGTCAAAAACAAGAAAAATAAGATCTTCCCACTCCGTCCCAGGGGGTATGAGTGACCCTACAATACAAACATTTGAGGATTAGAAAGAATAATCTTTGGGGACAGTGCATGTACTATCCCCAGTCTATTTCAGCTAGGGTCATTCAAACCTTCCTGTCCCATAGATTATATCCCTTGCAGATCCCCCTTGTTTGCTTCCTATTTCCTAAAGCAGCCTCTAAAATCTAGAGAAGTGATGATGATAATGATGATGGCGACGACGATGACGACAACGGTGACGACGACGATCTCAATTAAAACTTGTTTCCAAGTGACGATGGAGCATGCTCAATAGCCAGGTCAGGTTTTGCTCCCAACCAGCTACCCTTATTCTACACCTTCGGAGATACTTAACTCTCTATACTGCTTTTTTGAGGAAGCAACACATTTTCTCTGCTTTCCATTCTCCCTTCCCCTCCCCTTTTCAAGGCTCAAAGAGAAACTACGCTAATGCAAAGCTCCCACTCCGTTTGCAGCCAATAAGTGGATGGGGAGGGGAGGAGTTTATAGCTGTGGGTTGCTTTAGGGAACTCCAAGTTCTTAGAGAAATCGTCCCTGGTAGATGTAAGTCGATTCTAACCTCCACTGCATCTGTCTCAACAGTATATGCTGCAGACTGGAATAAGTCTGATTTTGCGAAGGATCAATTCTGGTTTTCTGAGGATCATGGATATTTAAAACAAATCAGGAGGGGTTTTTTGTTTTGTTTTGTTTTGTTTTGTTTGGAAAGCCGGATTGGAGCTAGGGAGAAAATGACCCATATGTTAAACGCAGCGGCAAATGGAGTGAAATGGACCAGATCTAGGACTGCTAAAAGGGTCGCCTGCCTGATGGCTGCGGCATATGCTCTTAAAACTCTCTATCCCGTTATTGGCAAGCGTTTAAAGCAGCCCGACAGCAAAAAGAACCTAGAGGAAATTTGCCCGACTGCAGAGAATCCGGGGAAACTGCATTGCACTGAGGGCTCTTGGAAGAAAGCTCCTGGAGTGAATGCAGATTTTTTCAAACAGCTTCTGCAGCTTCGGAAAATTCTCTTTCCCAAACTTGTGACCACCGAAACAGGTTGGCTATGCCTCCATTCCGTAGCCTTAATCTCAAGAACTTTTCTTTCTATCTATGTGGCTAGTCTAGATGGAAAAATTGTGAAGAGCATTGTGGAGAAAAAACCTGGGACTTTCCTTATTAAATTAATCAAATGGCTTATGATTGCAATTCCTGCAACATTTGTGAACAGTGCAATAAGGTATCTGGAGTGCAAGCTTGCTTTGGCTTTCAGAACTCGTTTGGTAGATCATGCCTATGAGACCTATTTCACAAATCAGACTTATTATAAGGTGATCAATATGGATGGGAGACTTGCAAACCCTGATCAGTCTCTTACTGAGGATATTATGATGTTCTCCCAGTCTGTAGCTCACTTGTATTCTAATCTAACCAAACCCATTTTGGATGTAATGCTGACTTCCTATACTCTCATCCAGACTGCTACATCCAGAGGAGCAAGCCCCATTGGGCCTACATTGCTGGCAGGGCTTGTAGTGTATGCTACTGCCAAAGTATTAAAATCATGCTCCCCCAAATTTGGTAAATTGGTGGCTGAAGAAGCTCACAGGAAGGGATATTTGCGGTATGTGCACTCCAGAATTATAGCCAATGTGGAAGAAATTGCCTTTTACAGAGGACATAAGGTAAGGCAAAAATTAAGATGATAGTTGAAATGTGAGATGGCTCAGTGCTGCTACTGCAGAAAAAGATACGGTTTGTTGTCTCACTTCCTCAATGGTTCAGATTCCTCTGACATCTAAACTTCTATGAAAATATATGCTTCCCTATACTTTTAATCACAAATGGAATTGCAGAATATATTTTCTAAAGTTTCATTTTTCTTAATTATCTAGAGTAAGAATAATTTAATTCTAAGCAAAAAGTGTGCTTAGTTTGACAAATACATTACATATTTATGTTCCACTGTTTGTTTGTTTTTTTGTATTAACATTTTTATTTGAAGTTTTGAGTTCCAAGTTCTATCCCTCCTTTCCTCTAATCTTCCCTCCCTGAGATAGTTAGCAATCAGATATAGGTTATGCATGTGCAAATATGTAAAACATTTTCATATTAGACATTTTGTAAGGGAGACTCAAAAGAAATAAAATGAAAGAAAGTGAAAAATAACATCCGTATTCAAATAATATCAGCTCTTTCTCTGGAGGTGGATAGTATGCTTCATCAGTAGTCCTTAGGGATTGTTTTGGATTGCTGAGAATAGCTAAGTCATTCACAATTCTTCATTGAACCATATTGCTTGTTACTGTGTACAACATTCTCCTGGTTCTGTTCACTTCAGTATCCATCAGTTTATGTAAGTCTTTCCAGGTTTTTCTGAAATCATCCTACTTGTCCTTTCTAATAACACAATAATATTCCAGTACAATCATATACCACAGCCTATTTAGCCATTCCCCAATTGATGGGCATCTCTTCAATTTCCAATTCTTTAGCCACCACAAAAAGAGCTGCTATAAATATTTTTTGTACAAATAGGTCCTTTTCCCTCTTTTTTTTGGATGTCTTTGGGATATAAACCTAGCAGTGGTACTGATGGATCAAAGGGTATGCACAATTTTATAGTTGTTTGGGCAGTTCTAAATTGCTCTCCAGAATGATTGGATTAGTTCACAGCTTCACCAATAGTGCGTTAGTGTTCCAGTTCTCCCACATCCTTTCCAATATTCAACATTTTCCTTTTTTGTCAGATTAGCCAATCTGATAGGTGTGAGGTGGTACTTCAGAGTTGTTTTAATTTGCATTTCTCTAATCAGTAGTGATTTAGAGCATTTTTCTTCATATGACTATAGCTAGTTTTGATTTCTTAGTCTGAAAACTGTCTGTTCTTATCCTTGTTGGGGAATGACTTTTGTTATTATAAATTAGACTCAGTTGTCTATATAGTTGAGAAGTGAGGCCTTTATCAGAGGTACTTGTTGCAAAAAGTTTCCCCCAGTTTTCTGCTTTCTTTATAATTTTGGTTGCATTGGTTTTGTTTGTGCAAAAGTATTTTAATTTCATATCATCAAAATTATCTATTTATTTTACATTTTGTAATGCTCTCTATATCTTCTTTGGTCTTAAATTCTTCCTTTATCCATAAATCTGACAGATAAACTATTTCCAGCTCTCTTAATTTGCTTATGATATCACCTATTATATGTAAATTATGTACCCATTTTGACCTTAACTTGGTATATGGTGTGGAATAGATTATGTAGTTTGTACCTAATCTATTCCACTGATCTCTATTTCTTAGCCAGTACCAGATTGTTTTAATAATTAGTGCTTTATAATACAGTTTGAGATCTGGTTTGGCCAGAGCACTTTCACATTTTTTTCCCCATTGATTCTCTTGATATCCTTGAGCTTTTGTTCTTCCAGATGAATTTTGTTATTATTTTTCTAGCTCTATAAAATAATTTTTGATAGTTTGGTATGGAACCAAGTTAATAGATTAATTTAGGTAGAATTGTCATTTTTATTATCGCAGTTTATTTTCTTAAAACTTAAGCCCCTACTCAAGTAAAAATGTACATTTGGGAAATACAAATAAAATATTTTCATTGTAAAAAGAAAAATACAGAATTCTTTTTTAACTGTTCTGGGGAAAATGCTTGGAATACTATGAAAGACATTGTTTTATATATGATTTTCAAATTTTCAAAATATGCAAATGGAATTAATGGTTAAGATTTTTATATTTAACAATGCATCTCTTACAAAGCTAGTCATTTTATAACAAGGATTCTATCTAAGCCAACTTTAATCTATGTTTATTAACTGCTAGACCCAAAGATGGCACTTTATGCAATATAACTTTTAAGATAAAAATTATATCGCAAAATCATACATAGGCTTCTAAGCAAACCTTTAAGTTGATAGATATTTATTATGAATATATATAGCTTAGTAGAATGGGGAGGGGTAAAATGAGAGGGTGTTCAGGCATGCAATGTTAAATACTTGTTTTGTTTTTTTTTTCCCCCATAGGTAGAAATGAAACAACTGCAGGAAAGTTACAAGGCTTTAGCAGAGCAAATGAATCTCATTTTATCTAAACGTTTATGGTACATTATGATAGAGCAATTCTTGATGAAGTATGTCTGGAGCAGCAGTGGACTGATTATGGTAGCTGTACCTATTATCACTGCAACTGGCTTTGCAGATGGTGGTAATGACATTTCTACTTTATTTCAAATATGTGTTTTAAGTGGAAATAATTTTTTTTTTTGGTGAAGCAGTTGGGGTTAAATGACTTGCCCAGAGTCACACAGCTAGTGAGTGTTATGTGTCTGAGGTCGGATTTGAACTCAGGTCCTCATGACTCCAGGGCTCGCTGCCCTCAAATGGAAATAATTTTAAAAGAGTTTTTGCTAATTTTCATTTTAGTCATACTCTGATTGTAGTAATTTTACTGTAATTATTAAGATTAGGGAGTGGACCTGTGTTAGGATACCTAAATTTAAGCCTTCCATCTACCATTTAATAGTTACTATAACCTTTGGCAAGTCATTTGGCAATGACTTCTTCATAGTCATCTCGATAAGTTTCCTTATTTATAAAATGGAGTTCTAACAGAATTATTGACCAACTTAAAGGAAATAATATGTGTAAAACTATAACATACACAAATAATAATATAACCCTAAAGTAAGAATCTTCTATGTGTCATATCCCACAAATGGTTCATTCATGTAACTTTTGAGTGAAAAATGTTATTCAACCCTCTACCTCCTGAGACAGCCCAGTTCACTTTTAATAGCTCTAATTGCTAAGAGTTTTTCTAGGCATCAAGTCTAAATTTACATTTGGTTTTTTTTCCCCCCAACTTCCACTGATTTCTCCTAATTTAAATAGCTGAAGACAGTTATCATTTCCTTTTTGTTCCTTCAATTTTGCTGCAGTATACACCTTTTAGACTTCAGAAAATTTATTGGTCGTTAAGGGCAAAATGTACAAGCAGTGAGATGGAAGGGCAAGTCCCATTCAAATTATATTTGCACCTGATAGTGTGTGAATCCATTTTAAATGTTAGTGGATAATTCTTCACTTTGTTAGATTATTAGTTCACTTGCAAATGAAAAGGCTGAGACATTGAATTTTCTCCTAGGGCATAGATTCCCTCTGTAACTTTTCCTAGCCTTTGATTTGCATAGACCTACTGAAGCCCAATAGAACTTTTAAAAACTGGATAACTATCAACCTCAGAAATATTTTGGAGATGACTGGTGAGTAATTAGTCATTGCCTTGCTATGGTCTAACTAGCAGAGATGAAGATTTGGAAAATGTACTGAGACAGCCATTGTTAGTTAGAGTGAGATCTCTCACTAAGGCAACCTGTTTTTGAACCAGGAAGAGTTACCAAAGGTAAAAGGTAAGTCTCTACTCTCCCTTCTCCTGCCTGGGAGATGGCAAGACTCAGAACGAAGGAAGGTTCTGAGGGAAAAGAAATGGTAAGGCTTTTGCCAGAACTAGGCTAGGCTAAAGGTCTCTGCCTATTCTGAAAGAGCACTTATATGTAAGACCTCGAGGGTCTGGAGTTGTGAGTTGCATTTTCCACATATAGTCCCTATATGTGTGCCTCACCATTGTAGTACTTTAAAAAAATTAATTTGTAGAATAAAACAAGCATTTCCATAACATAGTATAATAGAAAAAGAAGATTGCACATGAAACTGCAAATCTACTATGCACAACTTGCTATTCCTTTCAAATATACAACAAAATTATCATGTAAATTTCTTTTCCTTCCCTCCCCTTCAACCCCCCTCCCCACCGTGGCTACCATTTGACACAAATAGGAATATATGTGTAAAATTATGCTGTACATAGTTCTGTTTATCCGTTCTTTCTCTGGATGCAGATAGCATCTTTCTTCATATGTCCTTTATAATTAATTTGGTTATTTATATTCGTCATTGTAGTACTTTTTTTGGGGGGGGGCTAGGCAATGGGGTTAAGTGACTTGCCCAGGGTCACACAGCTAGTAAGAGTCAAGTGTCTGAGGCCAAATTTATACTCAGATCCTCCTGACTCCAGGGCCAGTGCTCTATCCACTGCGCCACCTAGCTGCCCCTCACTGTAGTGCTCTTAAGTTTGTGTCCATTCTTTCCAAGGTCACCGTATCTATTTGTGGGAGATTTTGCCAAAGGATTATGGGGGGAATGTTTTGTACTACTGTTTTTGGCAGTAAATATTTTAATAACAGCTAGTTGAATCTAATACCTGTAGATTGCTAATAGAAAGCACACTGATGGTGCCACAGGGTATGTTCTTGAACCCAAGGTAGCAGCCATCTTCTTGAGATCCAAACTGATAGTAAGTTCAAATTAGAGAAATAGCCCAGAAAAGGGACTACACTGAATTAGAGGCCCCAGTTGCTCTCCTTAGATACTCTCCATTATTCCTTCTTAAAATGTGGTACTTGGAATCGAATGCATTACTACAGATGTGGTCTTACTAGCATCAAGTTCATCCAGTGAGATGTAGCTTCATTTTCTGGCTTTCTTGACTTCTATATAACATTAATGACTCGTAGTGAGCTTATAGTTCTCAAAATACCTACATCTTTTCCAGACAAATTGCTGTCTAGCCATACCAAGTGCATCTGATATTTGTGGAGTTGATTAAAACCAAGGATAAAACATTTGTCCCTGTTAAATTTAATCCTTTTCAATTTAGTCTAATATTTTATTTTGTCAAGATATTTTTGAATCCTGTTTTCTAGTTTACGTGCTTATTATTTACAAGGCTCCATGCCTTGACAGGAATACAAAGATAAAAAATAAGCTAGCCCCTCCCTATGTTTTTTTGGGGGACTAAAAAGTGGGAAGAGGTAATAACAGGCATGCAGATAAATGTGAAAAGAGATGATTTGGATATAGAAAGAGATGGCATATAGAGAAAAAATTTAAATACATTTAAAATCATCTGATGTTTCAGATTGAACTTCTAACAGACATGATAATTACCTTAAAGGTTTCAGAAGGAGATAATACTTATTTTTTCCTGATTAATGTATGTCAGAGGAGGACCTAATGACAAGACTATAGCATGGTTAGCAATAATAAATGTTTAGAAGCACTGGCCTTATTATAGAACCCTGGGGCATGCAGCTTAGAGTAGAGAAAATACAATTATTAATAATGATAAATTAGCCCTATTGGGATAAGTAAGAAGTAAACAAGATATGTGAAGAATTTTTTTCCTGTAGGTGATTTAAGGTTGCTGAAAACATTTTTTTTAGCTATCAGAGATACCGATTGTTTGATTCCAAATTCAAGGAATAGAAAAAACATTTTAAAAATAGCATATTATGTAAACTTAAGAATGCCAGAATAAGACATTGATTAAACAAGATAAAATTTTATCTCAAAATGAGTAAGTGGAAATAAAACTAAATTATGACATTTCCTAGCAGTTGTCCAGAGATTTTTGATAATAAACTAACCAATGAGAAAGTAGGTAAAATGGACTTTCTCAACCCATTTTCTTAAGATATTAATCTTAAGATCTTCTGTTCTCCATAAGGTTATAATATGCATGGGATTGTTGTTTAAGAATAAAATCTGTTTTTGTCTCAAGGTGATGAAACTGTTGTGTTCATTATTATTCATTATTACATTTTCAACACTTGTACATTCTTAGAGATCTTTGAAATGTTTATATCAATCAACATTTTAAAAAAGATAAAGACCAAGTTTAAGGATGGATAGGTGAATAGGAAAAGGAATGGAAAGACCAGAGAAAAGTAGCAACGAGGGATTTTTTTGACTGTTGGTTTTCTTGAATCATGATACAAAATGGAATAGGTTTAAAATGCATACAGTTTAATTCATTTTTTGAGTGAGGAACTAAGGCCTGGAGATGTTTAAGAAGATTGCCTACCATCACAAAATTGTACAGCTAATTAATGGAGGAATTATGAGTACAACCTAGGTGTCACAGACATACAATTATTTCCTCATTCCACTGTTCCACATGGCCTCTATGTTAGATGTAGGCTCACAATGTTTAAGCTTGTGGTTAAAAACATGTCCGAGGGCCTTACCGTGGTAGGTGGTGTTTTCTTCCTAACCGTACCCCATGCAGGCTAGGTTAATTTTTCTTTAAAAGGTATTGGAACTATCCTGAAGATTTAATTGACCCCAGGGGACTAACCCTCAAAGCACTGACAGCTTCTGGAAGGCTTCACCACAAAATATAGCATATGAAGAATCAGTGGCTCTTCCCCCAGACTGGGGGCAAAAGGTTAACAAACAGCTCTTAGTTTCTTGAAGTCCTTTTCTCCTATTTGTGAGGTGTTCACCCCATTGTAGGATATTCAATACATTCTCTTTAAACATGGTGAAGTGGTCCTTGGCTCCTGATGTAGACAATCTGCCAGCTGATCTGGGGGCACTGGCTAAGAGAGCAATGCAAAAATGAGTGGTCCAAAATCTTCTGGACCCTTTGAAGTTTTAAGGGTCCTCTTCCAGTCAGAGTGGGGTTGGGGAAAAGGGACCAGGCCAAGACTAAAGGTGAGCCCTCTTTTCTCTAGGAGATTCCTAGGGCTGGGAGTGGAATGGTTGAACTTCAAGATTTCCATTGCACATTGCACCAATTTCTAAAATGAATATATTTCAATTCGCTTGATGATTTATAGATGCTCCTTTGGCATGGCCAAGTTTCCTCTGCCTATCCAAACACAGTTCTTATGGAACATCATTCTAGTTTAAAAGATTATTCAAACTTAATCTAAAAATCTATGATCTCATTTAGTTAAGATACCGAGACTACCCTTGCAATATGTAATATATTAATTTATAATATATGTAATATATAAACTTAAAATATATAATCCATTAACATGTATACATGTTATATACATACATATTATATTTCTAATCTATTGACAGATATGGAGCTACATGAATATATGTAAAGGTGGAGTAAAAATCTCATATGATACCTTAACTTGTGAGATCACATGTATGTACATAGTGTATATGTATATACACGTATATGTTGTCTCCCCCAACTAGACTGCAAATTCTTTAAAGTCTGGCAACAATTGTTTCATTTTTTTGTCTTTGAATCCCTAGAATCTAGCCTAGCATAGTACTTGGCATATAATAAGCATTCAATAAATCCTTAACAATTATTAATTAAAACAAATTAACAAAATAACTATTTTTAAAAACATATTCTGCACCTTGAGGAAAATTAATCATTTAATAATGAATATTACTTTGTAATCCATCTTTTTCCTGTTTTGTCAAAACTCCATCTTTTAGTTAAATTCAAAAGGAGGTGTTTGAGGCCAGATTTGAGCCCAGGAAGATGAGTCTTCCTGACTCTAGGCCTAGCACTCTATTCACTGTACCACCTAGCTGCCCCCATTGGTTACTGTTTGGCTAACTAATAAATTGATCATGCTGAGGTGCCAATATGACCTGTTTCACTAATCGTATACAGGTCACTGTTATTAAAATGATATGACCATTTGATATGAATTAAAATTAAAAAGATCATGCTCTGGAGGAAAATTGCATTTCAGCATCATTTTTACTTGTTACAATCTCTAGTTTAGCACCTCTTTGCCAAGATATGGGTCACTATCAGTCTTCTAAAGTCATGATTCGTCACTGCTTTGATCATAGTTTTAAAGGCTTTAAAGTTGTCATTCTATAAGTTGTCATCCTGTAAATTGCTCATTTTGTTCTGCATAAATTCACAGCACAATATATAATCTACTAATACCACCATTTGTTCATTCCACAACTTTGCTACCTACTTTGTTTCCAGTTCTTTGCTATAACAAAAATTCCTACTATAAATTTTTTTTATACATCTTTGACCTTGCCGAGTTAAAGTATGCAGTTGAGGGACTTTCGGTATATTGTTCCAAGTTGCTTTCCAGAATGGAAAATGTTACCATTCCCCAACAATTGCATTTTTTATCTTTGTTAATTTGATGGCTGTGAGTTAGAATCCTTGAGTTTTAATTTGTATTTCTTACATTATTAGTGACTTGAAATATTTTTTTTCACCTGGTTGTTCCTGTTTTTTTTTTTATTTGAAAGTTGTCCTTTCATATTCTCTGACCTCTTATCTATTGAGGAGTGGCTTTCTCATATTTGTACCAGTTCTCTATCTTATGTATGAGCCCTTTATGAGAAAATTGCTATTATGATTTTTCCAATTATATGCTTCCCTTCTAATTCTAATTGCATTTACTTTGAAAAATATTTTCACTTTTATGTAATCAAAATTGTCCATTTTTATGCTCTGTGGTTACCCGCCTTTATCTGTGAGACAAATTCTCAAAATGCCAGGTCACAGTGTTCTCCTTTCTTATCTCTCACTATGGAAAAGGGCAAAGAGTTCACATTATTAAGTGATTAATTACTACTCTCTGAGGTAGTTTTCCCCTGACATTTGTTACACGTCTGTATATCACCCAGTTGTAAGGCAGTTCCTTTGGTAGTACTTTAAACTTTTGGTAATACCTTAAAGAATTTAATTTCTTAAGGACCTTTTGGTAGTACCTTAAAGGTCTATCAACTTTAGACCTTTAAGTTTGTGATCCCTTTAATTTGCTTATAATTTTTTATATTTAAGTATCCATTTGGATCTTATTGTGATATAAGTGTAAGGGTGGGTTTCTGTTGATTTCCCCAAACATTTAAAAGTACTGGTGGTATGAGCAATATTCTAACCCCTCCAACTTTTAGGTTGTTTTTTCCTTAAAAGGTATGACCTTCTTGGAGACTTGGTTGGCTTAGAGGAATAAAGGCTCATACTGTTGATATTGCTTCCTCATCACATGAATACAAAGCAGCCACCAAATGCTCCAACGGTGCTTGAAAATGGATAACTCAGGCAAAGGAGCTTTCCTCAGCTGAATCAACTCCAGGTGCCCTCAATAACTATCCTTGTTGAATATCCTTCTTGCTATAGCTAAGTAAATTTCTTTTTTAAAAAATTGAGTGTCTCATTTTGTTCCAATATCCTACCAGGGGATGGCCTGAATTAGGCACAGACCAGAATACTTTGTAACAAAAGAACACTTATTGGTTGAATTAATCATAACTGAGTCTGATCGGTGCCTCTAAACCTCCTCGAATCAGTCAAAGTCATTTCATGAGAGACTTGGTTACACCCTGAGGAAATTGTGTGAAAGGGAGGAGGTATCTCAGAACCAGATAGAGGGTTTGGAAGTGGAGTGGGAAGAAAAGAGCTAAGGCATGTACTGAAAACCCAGAGAAAGGAGAAAGAGAAGATAGTATTGAGCTATAGTAGAGAACGGAAATCTTGGGGAGGGCCATCAGCTATATAGCTCTCCGAGCAGAACAATACTAAGAGTGCTTTCCCCAGTTTCTTCCGGTGCCTGCCTATCCTCAGACACTAAAATATAATCTGCTGTTTCATTACCCGAATGTTCCTGATAGTCTGAATTCTTCCTTGAGTGTAATGAGATGAGAAGTTAAGTATTTAAACAAAGATCCCAACCTCTGTCTCAATGTTAGGAGTATTCCTAACTGGAGGCTTAGAGTTATTGTTATTACATTCAAACTTTTTGTCTAAAATAAAGGAGGAATGATGTGGATCTTAGGGGCCATTGTATTGCCCCAGGCTTAAAATGTTAATTTTTTTTTTGGTAACATGTTATATATTGTTTAAGATCTTGTTTTAGTCCTAATTTCTGCTATGCCCTGTTATAGTTTTCTCAACAGTTTTTGTTGACTAGGGAGACCTTTTATGCCAGTAGGTGATGTCTTTGGGTTTATCAAACACTATTCTATTATGTCTAATTGTTTCTGGGTCCAAGCTTCTCTTCCAGCCTTCTCTGTTACATAACATGTCACAAACAAAATAAACTACTTAATGTTTCCAGAACAACATGCCTCCTGCGTCTTGATCTCCATACTTTTACAAGCAAAGAATTCCTTCCACTAGGAGTGCCCCTCTTTCCCTTCATTCCTGATCTCTATATAATAGCAACACCATCTATTCAAAGCCCAGGTAATGTGTCACTTTCCTTATAAATTCTTCTCTGATCACACCCAAACTTATTATCTTATTTCTTCTATGCTACTGTTAACACTAGCATAGTTCATATTCTTGTGTATTGCATAACTAAATGCTATGGGGTTTTCTGTAACATATTGTTGAAAGAATAAATAGTATTACGTAGTACAGGTCACATGGATCTCAATTATTTTCTTTCATAAAACAGCATGACCTCTTCTGATAAAGAAAAAATCTGGAGAGATGATGTTAGATTCAACTAAACAGTTCAATGAGCCACTATTAAGCATTTACTTTTTACCAAGTACTGTGTTAGGTGCTGGGGATACAAAGATGAAAATCAAATAGTCCCTTTCTTCAAGGAGCTTAGATTTAACTGGAGGAAAACAACATAAACACAGAAAAGTAAATGAGTAATATATGCAGAGTAAATACATAGTCATTTTAGGGTAGGAAGAAGCATTAACAATTGGAGGAGAGGGAAGAGGACTCAGGAAAAGTCCTCATGGAAGATCTTATGCTGAACCTTGTTTCCAAAAGACAAAAAAGTTAAGGCTGAAAGTAATATATTTTAATAATTAAGTCTCAGAGGGAACATCCTTGGACACTACCTCTTGTGTTCTATATGAGGATTTCCAATACTTCTACTTTGGGCAGCAAAAGCTGAATTATCACAATTTGATATTCAGGATCTTTTACCTAAAGAGAAAAAGGCCATGAGATTCTGCTCCTGAGGTTTGTTATCCTGTTCCCACTCCAAAAGGATGTTTAAAATATAGACATATTTTTCTTTCACAAATGTAGTTCGAATGAAATTTCTTTAAAATTAAAACAAAAAAAATTTAAGCTACATAATAATACTGGTCAGTAAGGACTTTTTATTTAATATTTTTACCTTTCTTGGAGGAAAATAAAAGATAAGGCACTATCAAATAAATAGTCAGTGGTATTGAAATTTCAAAAATATATTAATTACTTATGAGAGGCAACAGGAAGTAATGAATAGTATGGCATCCTTGATGTCAAGGAGACCTGTTTCAAGTCTTGCCTCTGATACGTACTGGCTGGGTAACCTGGGACAAGCCAACCTCTTAATTCTTATATAACTCTCTAAGGGTATACATTACAGACAGGGCATATAGTAGAGGAAGTTCTTATATCAAATGAAATCACAGGTCTGGACCTTTTCTCTCCCTATCCAGCAAAATAATTTACTTTAAAGCTTTCTTTAATACTTACACATTTAAATTAACACATGTTGATTTTTTAGCTAGAATTGAATTGTTTAAAAATATGTGTGTGGAAATGGGGATAGAGGCCACTTGACAACTACAGCAGTTCTTAATTTTTCTTTAAGATTTAGAGGATGACCAGAAACAAGCTATGGTTAGTGAACGTACAGAAGCCTTTACCACTGCACGAAATTTATTGGCCTCCGGAGCAGATGCCATTGAAAGGATCATGTCTTCATATAAAGAGGTACTGTGTACTATTTACTACCTACACTAAAAGAGAGGTATTTGAAAATGAAATGAAATGTAAATAGCAAATTAGTAACAGTAATATTCACTTGGCAATCCTAGTACAGAAATTACAGAAAAAATAAAATCACATTAGTGACTACAGCCTTTTTAGAGTTGGTACTCATCATTTGCTTGATTCTTCAACATATACATCATATTCTTCTTTCCTTTCTGCTTCTGGTATGAGATATGGTGTTTGTTTTCTAAATTAGAGAGAACTGTAATTACTTTGTTTTAATGAATTTTGAGAATTTTGTGACAGAGGTACTTTAAAACAATTGTGACATATGGAAGTATTAGAGTCAATTATAAAAAGCATAACACTAAAATCAAACATCTCCTCATTGACTTTCATTCCAGCATGTGCTTCTATTGTTTTTGTACTTTAACACATTAGTGGGTCTGAGATCTCATAGAAATTGGTATTCCATCCTTTGGTACAAATGGAAATCTTTTTTTTCTTGTATAAAACAGATATTCCCTGCTGAAGGGCTTCCTGCATTTTGCATATTGAGTAAACCAGTGTAGTTTTTGGGCTGTCCATCTGTTAACCCTTCTTACTCATGTAACATTAGTGACCTCCTTTTCCAATCATACTTTTCCTCAATATCTTTTAAGCCACTTTTTGAATGTATGTCACCAGTAGAAATATGTAACAGCTTACCTGTGGCCACCATGCATCCCTCCTTTATCTTTTCAGTCACTTCTCTAATTTCACAGAAATTGTGGTATTCCAAACTCTCCATCTATGGAGATTCACTAGGAAAAGATCCATATTGAAAAGATGGGTCTTTGCACTAGAGAGAACCTCAAGATCATTTAAAGTGCCATGCAATTTATAAAATGCAATTCATTCTTCTCTTTTTTCCTATTCAATTCAGAGTCCAACTCATTGTCTGTAAGTAGTACTTGTCCCAAATGTATGTATTAATGTACTAACTCAAGTTCATTCTACTACATATCATAATCTGGATAACAGATATTTGATTTTTCCTATGTGACTTATTAGGCTATTCTCAAATGATCACGGAACATCTTAATGTTCTAGGGCTGGGTGCAGTTGTCACAGCAACTTCCACCAACTGTAGCATCCAGAGGGTCACAGTCAAAGGATTTTCAAGAACTGGAAGGAAACTTGGTGACTACATAATCCAATCCGTAGATGAAAAATAAGCCCCTCTAAAACATAAACAAGTTATTATCTAGCTTCTGTGTGAAGATCTCCAAGAAGTGGGAATGCTCTTTTAAAATACTCCTTAAAAATAGCTCAGTGGCACTCAGCTCATCACCTCTCTGTCTGGAGGAGGGCAGCATGTTTTATCATGAGTCCTCTGAAATTGTGGTTGTTTGATCAGAGTTTCCAAGCCTTTCAAAGTTGTTTATTTTTATATTATTGTTGGTATGGTATAAACTTTTCTCCTAATTCTGCTTATTTTATTCTGCATCAGTTCATATAAGCCTTCTCAGGTTTCATTTCTAAAAGCACAATAGTACTTTAGTCATTCCCCCAAGTGATGGGCATCACCTTAGTTTCCAGTTTTTTGTCAATACAAAAGAGCTGTTGTAAATATTTTTGTATGTATAGGTCCTTTCCCCCTTTCTTTAATCTATTTGTAGTATTGACCTAGTGATATTTCTGGATCAAGGAGAGTGTACAGTTCAGTTGATTTGGGGGCATACTGCCAAATCATCTCCCAGAATGTCTGGACCAATTCGCAATTGCACTAACACTGAATTAATGTTTTTCTACACCCTCTCCAGTATTTGATATTTTTCTTTTTGTTTTGTCAAACTGATGGGTGAGAAATGAATCCTAAATGTACCTTAAGTTCACATTTCTCTAATTATTAGTGAGTTAGAGAACTTTTTCATGTAGCTAATTGATAGCTTGGATTTCTTCCTTTGAAAATCGTTTATTCATATCCTTTGACTATTTATCAGTTGGAGAATGGATTTTATTCTTAAAAATGTGAATCAGTTCCATATCCATCTTATCTGAAAAAGTCTAATTGACTTTTTCTTTTCCTTTTTTTTTTTTTTTGTTGAGGCAGTTGGGGTTAAGTGACTTGCCCAGAGTCACACAGCTAGTGAGTGTTATGTGTCTGAGGCTGGATTTGAACTCAGGTCCTCCTGACTCTAGGGCCAGTGCTCTATCCACTGTGCCACCTAGCTGCCCCTAATTTGACTTTTTCAAAGAAACTTGCTATAAAGATTGTTTTTTATTTACCTACCTGCAAATTTATCAAAAACGTTAAAATTTTGTGTAAGCAAAATTTTCCATTTTACCTTCTGTAAGGTCTATAAGATCTAAATTCAGCCTGATTGTAGTGAATAATCTTTGTGATATGTTGCTGCGGTTTCCTTGCTAATATTTTATTCATAATTTTTGCACTCATATCTATTATAGATCCTTTCTACCTCTTACTTGGTTATAATTTCTTTTCCTAACCATTTCTTCCTTCCTCCTTTAATTTGTTTAGTATGTCACCCTTATATCTAAATCATGTACCTATTTAGAGCTTATGTTGGTAGACAGTGTGAGATGTTAGTAATACCCAGTATCTTCCAAACTGCTTTCTAGTTTTCCCAACAATTTTTGTTAAATAGATCATTTTTGCCCCAATCTGGGATCTTTAGGTTTATTAAACACCAGGCTACTGTGCTTGTTTGCTTCTGTATATCGTTTGTCTAATCTATTCCACTGATCAATCTATTTCTTACCTAGTACCAAACTGTTCTGATGATTGTTGCTTTATAATATAGTTTGAGGTTTATTAGTGCTCAGCCCCCTTTCTTTTCACTTTTTTCATCATTTATTTTGAGATTATTAGCCTTTTGTTTCTCTAGATTAATTTTATTGTTATTTTTTCTGGCTCTATAGAGTAATCCTTTGGTAGTTTAATTGTTATGGCATAACATAAGTAAATTAATTTAGAAAGTATTGTCATTTTTAATGTATTGGCTCAACCTACCCATGAACAATTTCTCTAATTATTTAACCTGTCATTATTTGTGCAAAGAATATTTTGTAGCATATAATTCCTTTGTGTGTTTTGACAGGTAGATGCTTTTTGTTTCCTGTTTTTAAATGGACTATCTTTATCTCTTTCTGCTGGATTTTGTTGGTAATATACAGAAATGCTGATGACTTATGTAGGTTTGTTTTATACTCTGTAAATCTACTGAGGGAAGGAAAGAAGGAAATAAGTAGTTACTAAGTACATGCTTTGTGCCAGGCAGCTGGGCACTTTGTAAATATATTCTCATTTGATCCTTGCAACAACTCTCTGAGGTAGTTATGTTATTTTCCTCTTTTTGCAGGTGAGGAAACTGAGGCAGATGGAGTTAAGTAGCTTGTCCAGGGTCACATAGATAGTGTCTGAGGTCAGATTTGAGTTTAGGTGTTCCTGACTCCATTTTAGTGTTCTATCCACCGTGCCAAGTCATCTATAGTATCATCTGAAAAAAGCGATAATTTTGTTTCATCTTTGTGTTTATTCTAAAAATTTCTTGTCTTATTGCTATAGATAGCATTTTATTCATATTGAATAGTATCAGTTATAAGGGACATACTTGTTTATCCATGATCTTATTGGAAAGGCCTCTATTTTTGTAACATCACAGGTCATGCTGGCTCTTGGTTTTAGATAGATACTAAATATATTAAAGAAATCTCTGTTTGTTCTTATGCGTTTTAGTATTTTTAATAGAAATGGGTGTTACATTTTGTCAAAAGCTTTCTCTGTCTCTTAGTGTAATCTGATCTTGTTCTTGTTATTAATACAATCAGTTGTTTGTTTGTTATGCTAATATTGAAACATCCTTGCATTTATGGTCTGAATTCAGACTAATTATAGTGAATAATGTTTGTGATATGTTGCTGTGGTTTCCTTGCTAATATTTTCTTTATAATTTTTGCACTGATATCCATTAGAGACATTAGAATTTTCATTCTCAGTTTTGGCTGTCCCTTGTTTACGTGTCAAGACTACATTTGTATCACCTTGATGATGTGAAATAATTTTCCCTGTCCTTCCTCTTGCTTCTCCTTAGCCACTCCTAGTGTATTCCTTTTCCCCTTATTTTCCATTCTTCTTTTAAGGTTATCAAAGCAAAACAAAACTACTAACAGCTGCTTTGTCTAATTAAGACTTCCACAGTGGCCTCTGATGATAAGGTTTTGTAGAGATATGTACATGTCATGTGCCCATATGTGAATGTAAATAGTTTGTTATTGCTTAATCCCTTATGCTTGTTTGCTTACATTTACCTTTTTATGATTCTCTTGATTGCTATATTTGTATTTCAGAGATTTTACTCATCTTTAGTATTTTATCAGGTCCACTTTCTCCCCTGAGTAGAATTATACTTAGTTTTCCTGGGTAAATTATTCTTGACTGTAGTCCTCTATCCTTTGCCTTCTGGAATGTTATATTCCAGACTCTCTGCTTCTTCAAAGTAATGGCTAATCTTGTGTGATTGTGACTGTGACTCCTTGGTCCTTGAATTTTTTTCTTTTTGGTTGCTTGAGTGTTGTTTACTTGACCTGGAAGCTTTGAACTTTGACTGTATTGTTTCTAGGAATTTTCATTTGAAGTTCTCCTTCAGTTCATGATTGGAGTGTTCTTTCACTTTCCATTTTATTCTCTAGTTCTAGGAGATCTGGGAAGGTTTCTTTTGTGATTTCTTGAAGTATGATATGTTTTCTTTTTTGCTTTCAAGTATTTCAATGATTCTGACATTACCTCTCCTAAATTTTTTTCCATGTCAGTTTTTGCTATGAGATACCTTACATTTTCCTCTATTTTTCAGTTTTTTGACTTTGTTTTTAACATTTATTGTTGTGTTATGATTTTACTATTTCTTATTTGGTATATTCTAATTTTCAGTGAGTCTGTAAGGGTTTGTATTTCTTCTACCAAGTTGCTAATTCCTTTTCCAACTTTTCTTCCAAAA